CTGTCGAGTCTGTGTACCTTTCCCACAAGAACATACTCACGTGAAAATCGATCGATCTGCTTGCATCTCGTCACCTTAAACGTTCTTGGGAATGATTGAATTGAACGCTCGTTAATAGAGGCTTAATTAGTTCTCTCTTCAGGTCGGGTATATCGATTTATCTGTGAATCTTAGCGTTCAACTAAGCCTTCAGACAATCCGACTGCGTTGTGCTGCGATGCACATGATTTTGAATCCCAGTCATGGTCAGCGTCTAAAACTGTCACCTTTAACCGGTGATGGGGTTCGGTCGATCGTGACCAGGGGGCGACCCTTACCTGAGTGTTCGTTTTCTTGGCAAACGTGATCGAATCTAGGCTAGCAGTCGAATCGTAATCGAGGGCCTAATCGCACTGTTTATGGTGTCCTCCGTCAATCCAGTCGATGCGTGCAGTAAACTCCCAAGCGGCTATTAAATTCACAGCCGTTTCCGCCCTGCTCGTCTTAATGATTGTGCTGATTCTCAGGGCTTAACTTTTCTTCTCTCGAAAATTGATCAAACGTTGAAACAATGGAAGACTTTTCCCTTTCGTTTTATTGTAATGGTTTCTTGGCCTCATTTACCATTTACACAATAAATGGTGGCGCTGCATAAGCGTGTGAAGCTGTTCTCAAGTGGTTTTCTAACATAATAATCTTGCAAGTATAATTTGGTCATGAACGTCGTACAAAAACAACTCTTCACATCTGAACGATTGACGACGCTGCGTAGCCCTTGCTTCAGGAACTTTTATTGCAAACAGGTAAACCATAAAGTACCAACCAGCCAAACAAAGCGTATTGTCATCAGCCGTGTTCGATGCAGGCATCCGTTACACGGCGCATACACGGTTATGTTTCTTTCCCTGTTGTCCAAACATTGTCTCGAGTGTATCAGATCTGTTTGGCAGATGAAAATGCGACTGATGAACAGCTGAAAACGAGCATCATGCTCTCAGCGGCAGTAACCATATTGGATTTTTGAAAAATTTCCGTTTACCAGTATCAGCTATCGTTTCAGTTGTGGTTTGTACCAGCAGCAAAGGAAATTAGCACCGGTGAGAAGCTCGTTGCCACACCGTCCCTCGCCACAGTTTTCATGGAATTTCTCGATCCTCGCAGTTTTACAACGTCAACTGAACGAAATGGTACGTTGGCGACGTATTTGCTGTTTGCTGGAATGGACCGAACCAGAAGCCTATTGCTGAACCGCCTGAGCTCTCTGTTTTCAGCCGACATCTTCGTCACGATAGAAGTTGAAGAAGACGGAAATCTCTCATCGTGTCTGCATGCACTGCTATGCCGAAGAAAAGACATTTTCATCTCGCAAGTCTACTGCAAGCCAACCCATACGCGTTCATTTCCTGCTCTACAACTCCAGCCACTCTTACAGCGTTAAAAATCACATGGATTGTAAATACGTTGGTCGACCAACAGGTGCTTGGAGGAGCACAGTACCCTAAAAGGAGCTGCGGTCTGCTGTGCATTTTAGCAGTTTAAAAATGAGCGGTTTACCCATTCATCAAAGGTCGCAACGAAGCGATCAAAACTCAGGGAAGGAACGTGGGGAACAACTTAGAACCGGCCAAAAGGTCGTCTTTTAGGTGTCTGATCTCCATGAGAAGCTACGGAGAACAACTTCTAAACTTGGTGTTACGGTTGCCTTTCAAATCTGACGTCACACTTAGCAGACAATTTCTTCATATCAAAACCACCGAATAGCAACGTTCAATCTCTAATGTTCGTTGCGTATGTTCGGATGAAGTGAAGAAGAAGAACAAGAAGAAAGATGCGACCGCTCTACCTCACACGGTTGATCAATGACGATCAGAGAGAACGTGGGCATGATCAAAAACGGCGTGGTAGAAATGAGACTAAATGATTCGACAGAAACGAAAGGGAATTCGAAATCAGCTCCGCACTTATCGAACTCGCGGTGAAATAAGGTCATGAGTTGACTGGAAAAACATGAAATCGACATAGCGCGAAAGATACTACCGGAAGCGGAAGAGGAAAGAAACGCTCTTGATGATGACATGCGAATGTCTTAAAGGAGGACTAGTCATTAGTTTGGATGAATGCAACACTGTGCAGGAGTTGGCGAGGAAGATCAAAAATCGATTAGACGATTTTAATTAATTCGAATTAATTGCATTTTCAGCTAACGACAATGAGATAAAAAAGAGTAATTTCATCAATGAAGAATTATTCTAATTCCACTATTTTGAAAAGTGAAGTAACTGACAGCGTGAAAGGTAGTCAATCTTTTTTCACGGGAATCACGACGTGGCATACAAGATTTTGTAGCGAAACACGTTGCGACGCCTGTTTTCCTTATTCCAGCAGATGAGATGAGCTGCGAATGGCGTCATAGTTTCTTAGCTTCATCATTTCGCCTGCACTGTCCGACTGTCCGGCCTTCGAGTTCGAGTGATCCTTCGTTCGAGAGGTAGACACTATGTCCCCTCTACCTCTACAAGTCTCCGGGTTTGTGATTAGTGCCTTGTTGATGTACGTATTTCTCTTAGATTCACATAAAATTCTGCCAGTTTCGTGATCCGTTTTTCCAATTGAAACACTAC